TGGAGTACATGCTGCCCTGAGTGACATAAAAAAGATGTACAATTCTGTTTGGTTGGAGGACCGGGAAGTACACCTTCATAGATTCCTCTGGCGAGACTCAGAGGATGAAGAGCTGGAAGAATATGCAATCACGAGAGTAAACATCGGAGACAAACCGGCAGGGTGCATTGCACAGCTGGCAATGCGCGAGACTGCTAACCTCATTCCTTTCACCCACCTCAATGAGGAGTGTCAGGTGCTACAAGAGGACAGCTACGTTGATGACATTCTCACATCCCACAATGATCTTGGCCAGCTAAAAACCATCACAGCAAATGTAAAGCAGATCTTGAAAGCTGGAGGTTTCAAGCTCAAGCCATGGGTCTTTTCTGGGCAAAGTGGGAGGATGGGTTGGAAGGACAAGTTTGAGAGGACCAAGGCGAAGACCATGGTCCTGCCAAACCAAATGAGCGATGATGACAATAAGGCGCTCGGCCTGGGCTACATGGTCGAAGAAGACAAGCTCCATGTCATGATCGCAATCAATTTCTCGAAGAGAAAGAAAAAGATGAGAATTGGCCAGGACCTTCATCAAGGACATGTCAGAGATCAGATACGAAATCCCCTGATGCGAAGAGAACTGCTCAGCCAAGTTTCAGGGCTCTTTGACCTGAGTCGGCCTGGTAACTCCTGCTAAGCAAAAGGGAGCTATTCTGGTGAGAAGGGCATTCCAAGAGGCAAAGAGCGAAAGATGTCCAGTCAAAGACCCATGGGACACAGCACTCTCAGACGACCTCAGGGAGGATGTAATTAAGCTATTCGAAGAGTACATCCAACTCGGCAAAGTCATGTTCACCAGAGCACTAACGCCTCCATGCTACATTGAGAAACCTTGGGAAATCACGTTCTCCGATGGAAGCAAGCATACCTATGGAGCAGTGATGTACCTAAGGTGGAACTCGGACCAGGGCCCAGTCGTTAGGCTGGTGGAGTCAAAAGCAAAATTAACTCCCTTGGACTGCAAAGGTGATGCTGTCAAGGCAGAGATTTGTGGAGCTGTGTTTGCCTCACGGTTAAGAAGGTACTTTGAGCTACACAGCTGAATCCAAGTTGAGCGGTGGTACCATTTGATCGACAGCCAAACAGTCCTTGGTGCAGTACAGCGAGATAGCTATGGCTGTCAAGCATTCTTTGCAAATCGGATTGGAGAAATTCAAAATGGCACAAGGATCCAAGACTGGTGGTGGATCCCTGGTCCGCAAAATATTGGTGATATAATCACCAGAGGGGCCAACCCTCAAGACCTGGATGAGGACTCAGAGTGGCAAAATGGACAAAAGTTTCTAAGTTTGCCAGTGAATGAGTGGCCAATCAAATCTGCTAAGGAACTAGCAACCGCTGCCAGAGAAAGCATTAACAAGTTGCAAAAGAAAGCATTTGTTGCTGCGCTGACGAGAGCCAAGGCAAAGAAAGCGGAACAAAATCAGAACCAGGCACAAACTGAACAAAGGAGACCACCTGCAGGGTCAGCCATCCGAGGCCTTGTCGATGTCAAGAGGTTCAGTAGTTTAACCCGATTTGTCAAAACGATTGCATGGATCTGGAGAGCAGCAAAAAAGTTCATTGGACAAAAGAAAGCCCTGAAGAGTTCAAAGTGGGAGGCAGTCTCTTTAGCAGGAGTTGTCTCAGTAAGAGAACGAGAAGATGCCCAGAGAGACATCTTTCTGGCAGCACAAGAGGGCACAACCTTCCCAAGCAGTCTATAAAGAGAAAGACTCTGGGCTATTGGTTTGTGATGGCAGAGTGCAAATCTTTAAAGAAGATCAAGTTGGGGTCCCTATCTTACCCTATGACGCATGGGTGTCCACACTGCTAGCTCGGGAGGCCCACAGTGAAAGTCATGACGGAGTGGCCGGAACCCTGCTCAAGATGAGAAGGAGAGCATGGGTCATACGGGGAAGGAGGATCGCTCAAAAAATTGTTGATGGGTGCATGATCTGCAGGAAGGCAAAGGCAAGGAAATATCAACAAGTAATGGGTGATTTGCCGCCAGAACAAACAGAACCTGCTGCACCGTTTCAATTCACAACAGTAGACCTTTTCGGACCATACCACGTAAGAGATGACGTAAAGAAAAGAGTGAGACTAAAAGTCTGGGGGGTGGTCTTTTGCTGCATGGCCAGTAGAGCCATCCACACAGAGTTAGTAAATACTCTATCGACCGAAGGGTTCCTGATGTCCTACCAAAGGTTCACGGCACTCAGGGGGCACCCAAGAAAGATGTGGTCAGATCCAGGCACCAATTTCATTGGAGCAAAACCAGTCTTGGAGGAGCTTTACAGATTCCTGGACGGCCTAAACAATGCAGCTCTTGAGGAGATAGCGGCAAAAAACGGGACAGAGTGGATGTGGAAAATCCACCCAGCCGATTCTCCACACAGGAATGGTGCTGCGGGAGCTGCTGTACGAATTGTAAAGAAAGCACTTCAGAGTCTTGGAAAGGAGTCTGAGCTCAGTTACAGCGAGTTCCAGACAACTCTTCACATAGCAGCCAACCTGGCAAATGAGCGCCCAATCGACGCCAGGATACAGAGCCGGGAAGACTGTATTCAATATATCACACCCAACATGCTCCTTCTTGGCCGGGCATCTCAAAGTGGGGATTTCAAAGCTTTTGACTTCTCCAGCTACCCCTACAAAAGACTCAGAGCAATGCAGTCAGAGGTGACCAAGTTCTGGAAGCATTGGAGCCAGCTCGCTGGTCCCAACCTATTTGTAAGAGACAAGTGGCACACTGCAGAGAGAAACATTGCTGTTGGGGACATTGTCTGGCTAAGTGACCAAAATGCACTGAGGGGGCAATTCAAGCTTGGCAGGGTCATCAATACAAATCCTGACACTAAAGGCATCGTCAGGGACGTCAACGTCAGAATCATTCCAAGTTACCATGCTCCTGTGACGAAAGCTCTAAAGGCCAGAGCAAATCATCCAACGTTGGACAAGCAGAAAGGAAAGGTCCAAGCTACCATCCTTCACAGAGACGTAAGGCGGTTGATTGTCTTACTACCTGATGAGGAACAGATGGAGAGTCAAGTCAGGACAGCATCTCAAGATGATCAAGAACACCGAACTGGGACCACAAAGTTTGCCTTTAAAGCTGGCGATCTGCCCAGTGGTTCCATGGGAAAATCAAGTGGGAACACAAAATGTGTGTCAAGTCAAACAGGGGTTTTCTTTTATGTAGAGAGAAACAATATAAATAACTGAAAGGATTTTAAACTAATGGTAAATAAAATAATAAATGAAGCCGTTAGTAAAGGGGTTGATACTGACTGTGTGAGTGTTCGGAGGGAACGCAGGGCGGAACCAATCTGCTTGGAGGTCAATATAACCAGAGACGCAGTAACGCGCTGTGTCGCAGCAAATATGGTCCAAAATCGGACAAGCACCATACCGACAAAGATCGCATAGTGTGGAGATCTGTGACGTCGCTGCATGACTGACGAGTCTGAGAGGTCTGGAGAGGCAGCCAGTAAGGGAGCTGACACTGCGCTAATAAGCTGAGTGTGCTAAAAGAACTAAGTGTGCTAAGCTGAACTGAACTGAACCTACCAAAATAAAAGGAGGAAAAGGAAAAAGTTCTTTGGTTATTGAGTGGAATCCAGTTGGGATCCTTCGGGTGGACTCGTCATCCTTTTCAAGTTGGGAAAATGCAGACATTAAGAACATAACTTAACAGTTAAAAAACGGATAACTTGACAATGTGAGGGGGGGTCCATTGCGTTTCGCTGCCCCTTATATTTTGAATCGCACGCCAAACCCGCGAACCATTTCCTGAATCAGTCACGTGGTACGGCCGGCTCGCGAGGCTTCGAACGTCACCAACACAAGCCTCGATACGCGCTTCACAAAAATCTTCCTGGATTACCTACAGTAGATGGAGAAACAGACAGCACAGGGGTAAATTATTTTTAGAAGCCTGAAGACTGATTTTAGAAACCTAAAAAATCAATTTTAGTTTAAGTGCTGTATTAAGAATATCTTTCAACAGAGAAGTGAAAGTGAAATACGTTTTTTTATCACCAGTCTTTCAAGAGAGCATAAATCATTTTCCCTGTCAGGTCAGTTCCCCTTGAGCAATATTCTACATATAGCATACACATAAAGGTGCAATATTCACAATTTTCAGGTTTAAAAATAGCATCAACCAATTATTGTGTATAAGAAAGATATAGTGGAGTAATGTCTACCTGAGCAGAGAATGAAGTATCTCTCTCTGTTTGTGTGTTGTAATCTGCTCTGTGCTTTGTTCACAACCTCGTATAGAGCACCTTTAAACTGATACAACTTTTCCACAGCAGTGCATTACTTTGTAATACATTAATAAGTACCTCATACAACCCCACTTCAAAACATCCTTGTGAAATCGATTTAAGTTTAAGTTTTAACAATTAAGTGATACATTTTTGCCAGCTTGATTGCATTTTTGAATGACATTAAAATACATTTACATGCTAATAAATAAATCATAGAGGGGATCTGAAGTTAAAACATGAGTTATTTATTATAATTTTGAAAATGATTCCTATTGGTAATAATAACATTTTAGTCACCAAGTTAACTGTTGAGATTTGGGGGAAGTTGACACGGTGAGAAACAAAGGCAAACGGTTAAATGATTATTTTAAACCTCCAGACACTCCAGTTCTCAGGTTGTCTACTTCAACTAAATAAAGTAGTCCGGTTGTGAGTCCGTCACCCAGAAAAAGACTCAAGGAAAACCAGATAAGAAAGTCTAAAGACAACAAGCCTTATTTTCAATAATAAGTCATCATGTCATGCGTGAATGTGTCCAACGTTGGTTAACAATAAAATAACTCATACAACAACATCAGCAAATGAGATAGCAAAAGTGCTAGCAGTAGTGCTAGCTTGGTAACGGCTGCCGCTCACATGACGGCCGCCATGCAGGACTTCAAAATCTTGGATCCAGCTTCTTCACACCCAGTCTTTGTTGTGCAGATGCAGAGCAGTGCAAGTACGGGAAGAACCGCGTTGAGGCCGACGCCAAGCGGCTGCAGGCCAAGGAGGAAGAGCTGATGAAGAAGAAGCAGGAGATCAGGAACCACCTGACCCAGCTGAAGAAGGAGAGGATAGACCTGCGCACTGCAGTGGAAGCTGCTGCTGGTAGGAGCAATAAGAGCTTGTCATTGAAAAGGTTAGGTCTGAAATTTAAAGCAGCAGGGAAGTGAAGTGTTTGGGGAAAAAGCTCTCCAACCTCTCTACTCAACATCTTGGTAGGTACACGTTTTTTACAGTGATAAACATTCACAGAGAAATCCCCCTCTCCTCCTCCATTAGGCAAACGTTCACACGCCTCGCTGTCGGAGCGACTGAAGAAGGTGGAGGAGGACTGCAGGCAGAAGGAGGAGCAGCGGGTCAACCTGGAACTGGAGCTGTCTGAGGTGAAGGAGAGCCTGAAGAAAGCCCTGAGCGGCGGGGTCACCCTGGGCCTCACGATCGAACCAAAAACTGGCTCCTCTGGAATCCAGGTCAGACCACCTGTGCTGTCTGCTGGTTCATTTGTGCTGCTTTAATGCTCCAGAGTAGTTTACAAATCACATGTTGCTTGGTTGAAATTAAGTAACTTGCCGTGTGTGTGTGTCTGTGTCTGTGTCTGTGTGTGTGTGTGTGTGTGTGTGTAGTCCCCAGGGACGCTGCGACGGGCCCAGAAGTCTTCTTCCTTCTCCAGCTGTGACACCAGTGACACAGAGTCCTGCTCTCTGCCGGTCAACAGCGCCTCACTGCTCCGCCGGCAGCAGGGGGGCCAGAAGGCCTCTCCAGTCCGGGGACACGTCCTCAGGAAGGCCAAGGTCAGAGCTCACAATGCAGACCAGCCTACAGCAATGTATAAGCGTTTGCTAATATCGGGCCAGTTGTAGCAGATATCTACATTTACTACACCAGTGTATCGGTAGTGTCTGTAGTCATGGATCAGACTTGAAACTCTACTTGTCAAATCATGTTAATGTTTGGCTGACCAGGTCTGTCTTGGTCTTTTTTGGCTTCTATATAAGATGCCACAGTCCTGTTTAAGTGTGCAGAACATATTTTACAGTATTTGACTGCACTTAGGGACAGATGATACTCTGTGTTTTGGAACAGTTCCCATAATGATTTTAGGGATGTAAACAGTCTACAACTTGAGCTCTCTTTATTTCAATATTTATCTCCAGCTTGTCAAATTCTCCCCATTGAATTAGCTTTATCTGCTTCAGTGTGTCCATGGATACACACAAGTATCACTCGATCACTCTGATGGTGAACGGGTCAGGGTTCAGCTCCTGTTCCCTAGTGGGACCTCCCAGTGCGACCAGTGACTGGAAGAATTGGGGGTGAATGTGGTCCTGCTTGATCAGAGTAGCTTTCCGGATCACTGACCAAGTGATGGGGTGAACCAATTATTTTGTTGTCTGATAAGTTAGCAGGACAGTCTGGCTTTGTGTTTGGTAGTGAGGGCAGTGTACCAGGATGAATGTTGAAGATGAGTACAGACGTTATCATGTCCTTGCTGACATTGAAAGCCCTGAGCAGGTGGAGGTGCTCCTGGGCCTTCTCGTACACACAGTCTGTGTGCAGGGAAAATTGTTAAGGCAGTTCAATCTAGTTCTGAACAAAACCATAGAAATATTGGTGTTGGTGGTTTGAACATTTGAATAATTTGTTTAGGTACTCCATCAACACAAGTTTTCTTTTGTCTTTCCTGATTTATTAAAAGACTTGAGTCTAGATTGATTTGTATGAGAATTATTACACTTGTACTGGTATTACTGATTAAGATGATAGTATTTATCCTGAAAGATGGAGAGTGGTAGTAAACTGGTGGTTCTCTGTGTTTGTTCTGCAGGAATGGGAGCAGAAGACCGGCACATAAACCAGCCAGCCCCTCACTTCAGTCTACTTTCATGTCTTTCATTTTTATTTTCAGAAATTGTGCGTATATTTATTTAAAACTGTTCATACAGTCTGAGAGTGTGTTGAGGAGCACACAAGCATAGCATTCACATCCTGTCGGTGCCACAACATGCAGACGTAGCATTCCTTTTTAAACTGTCTAACATTGAGCATGCTGAATGTACTAAGTTGTGCCACTTGTGTTGTCCGCTGTACTTTCTTTTCAGTCACCTTTTTTTTGATTGACAGTGTGTTTTCAAAAAGGTCAAAACCAAGTATTTATTTGTAAATGTTTAGTGGAAATACTAGCTTCCATTTTTTTTATTTATGTTGATGTATTTAAAGTTATTTGTGATGAATTTGTGGCGCTCCACAGAATCCCATTTCCTCCACCGTCATGTGAGTCAGCGTCAGCAAACAAAGTACATCACAACAATCTTACTCACACCAGCTGAGCTCTAAGGGCTCATTCAAGAAGCACAATTATTCTCAAGATCACCCAAACTGTAAAAAACACAATCCATTATGGAGGTTGATCTGAGACATGTTGACAGGACAGGTTTATGCAAAGCAGTGTAGTTGTAGAAAATGAACCTTTTCTATTAAAATCACACATTGAGACATCCCATAAATGAAGATGACATTCATTGTTTTTACTTGGTCATGGTTAGGACAGTTTAAGGACATTTTTACACACAGAAAGTTATTAATTATTACATTTATACATGAAGTATGTTTTCTTTGAAACAACCTAACACTACCAGTCCATATGTTCTCTATCTGCAGAGGTGAGTGAAGCATAGAATATCTTATTTTGACTCACAAATGTTATATGAGTATTATCACACACAGAAAGGATGCTCCTTATCCAGGATTCGCACACCCTGCTGACTAAAAATGACCATGGTAAGAAGTATGTGTCCCTCTACAGATTGAACAAAACTAACTACTAGACTGATAAATGAAGTGAAATGCTAGTAGCCACAGATTTGTCAGATTTGTCTGGCTACAACTGCAAATTCAGCTTTTTAATCTAGCAAATGGAATGAACATAATCAGTCTCACTTCATCGTCACCCCTCACTGAAAGCTGGTTTAACATTAGAAGCCGCCAGTATTCCAAGTCACCCAGTACAGTTTTAGCCATGCTGTTTCAGAGGTAAATGAGTAATCATGCTTCTTTTAATTGTCCCTTAGTGTGATGCTGATGGCTGGCATCGGGCTGTAGCAGGACTCTAGCCGGTGTGTGTTAGCTTTCAAAAGCCGAGGCGTGGCAGCCCTCAGATTTGGCTACTGCTTTACTGTAGTCCTGTACTGTAGTCCTGTCATCTGACTCTCTGTGCATTATGTGTGTGTGTGTTTGCGCGCTCAATTGCATCCAAGGCACATTCCAAACCCATCGACGTAGTGTTCTGCTAAATTAGAGACTGTGACTTTAATTTTTTAGAAACAACCACACACACTTGTCAGTGTCACATTTTCATGGAGGTTTATCAACGTTCCACTACGCTGTGTGACGCTCGTCATGTTGATTCTGCTCAATATACATGGTGCTTTGTTGACAGAAGTAGCAATAGTGTTCACTAATGCTTGAGTTTGGAAATCAATACGTACAGCACATGAGCACCAACTGCTCCTCGCTCATGTAAATATTTTCTAATCCGCTTCCGGTTTTCAAATCCATACCCCACAAGTGTGCGAGCTAGAGTGTAGTCGGCATGTTAGCATGAAGACAGGAGCGAATGAGTTATAGCTCCACCTATCTCGTTCATTTTTATTCCCTGTTGGCTCGGCGTGGCTTATAACTGAGCAAGATGTCTGATAATGTGAACCTGCTGTACATAGTTTGGCTTTGTGTATGTGGGGG